TTTTTCTCACCTACATAAAAAACCTTTTAGGTAAATTTAATTAGCTACAGTGAGATGTGATGGTCTACAAACCGTTTGTGATAGGTAACTGAGATATCCTGTAATGGTAGTTAATCGCCGACTGGAAAATTTCCCACTTTCCGTAAAGAACAGAAAACGATTTCTGTCTCTGCATACGAGGTTGTCTTGGTATAGTTCCTTTTTCAGTTGACCTTACTAATTTGGCCTATTGCATTTTATCCTACGAAACACAGTTATTCTGTAATCAAGCGCTTGTTAATCTGTGGCTCGTTACCACCCGTTGACAGATGCCGTAAATGAATCGGTGTATTTTAATTTATGAACAGAAGATTTTGGACAAACTATTTTATTAAATCCATGGACACACATACACACGTTGAAACCACAGTGTTACCTCATAGTATATATGTAGATGAAAGCGTTATTGCGTCAATTCGCCAAGTTATGTTTCATCTCGTTGATGTTCATACGGCAAACCTGTATGCAAAACAATCGAACAGGTAATCACAGAACGCGAATCACAAAGATTATTTGAGACGGTTTAATTCACCAAATATAACACTATTCACGCTGAAATTTAAATCTTTTTTTGTGTACTTTGAGATCTTTTTATTGTAAAAGACTGTGACTAAGCATTTTTTTTTTTCAAATTTCCATTTGCTGAAATATGCCTACATGTTTTCCACATGTTTCAGATGACGTGAAAACGAGGCCTGAAGAAATACACAGAGAGATTAGGTAAAGTTGAAGCCTCACGACTTCCAGGTAGAGGTCCTAAAAGCTCTGGGATTGGTCAACCGGAGACATTGAAGAATATGGCAAATAGCCGATGATGGTGCAGAATCGTAGCTCAAACGGTAGAGTTCGAGGTAGGAAGACTCTATGCCACCGAGGTTCGTGGTCTCTTTAAGGCTAGATCCTTTTGTTTGATTCGCAGACATGACGATCGCGATGGGATCAACTTTATATAAGTGTGGCAATAAAATACAGTGTTATTGCATTAGACGGCCGTTCAACACTGTTTTCTGACAAAAAAACCAAAATCTGCAACACTATGACATAAATTTAAGGCATTCTGCTAATTCATGGGACAGAAAGGCAATGAACTCGGTTTACCCAAGAGAGAATTCTTATGATTAAGCCAGAACCATGGGTTGCCGTATTTCCTCGTAAATCCACAATTACCTCATGCTACGCGTGAGAAGAACCTAGGTAGCATTGTTTACGAATACTAGATTTTCTATCACTTGCTCCGGGATATCGATCATATCAGCAGAAGTACTGATCTCTTTAGACTTGTTCTTCTTAGGTTTGAGTCAACGCTGTTCCCACGTCTGTTGTCAGTGCACAATGAAACACGCACAGAGTACACCATTCAGATTTGACATGTCATGTTTTCAGGGGATGCCGTAACATACACAAATTATAGATAGAATGGTACAGCAGGGATTGCATTTTAGTAACTATATGAGGCTACAACCATTGAGGTAATATTCCACTCAGGGAAGCCAAATTTGGGCGGACGTTCCTGTTGCATCGAGTACAGAAGAACAGAACCCATTCAGGTCGCCCATGCTCACACTTTCGCAGAATTTCCACACCAGAAATTATTGGTCTTAAAATGCCAACGAAAATGCTTGCATCAACATTTCACTAATTGTTGTGTCCTCCCGTCCCACATCGTTTCACCACCAAATCGTTTCAACCTTATAACTGAGAATGGATGAAATATTGACATAAATCATCAAGCCAGTGAAAACACAGGCGATAGTGTGATAATGTTACATCCAATTTGTACCTGAAACTGAATATATTATTACTCACTTTGTGCGATTAAGTTGTCGAAATTTCCATAAAAATCTTTTATTTGGAATAACATAACTGATGGTAAAGTGCGGAGTCGTTCGTGGTAACGTGGTCATCCATTACCTTCCAGTTGTACGTATTTGCACGGACGTTGAGGCAAAACATTCACTGTTATTCGACTATAATCATTGAATTGCACGTAGATCCAACAGAATCCCTGGATGAGACACCAAGTGAGACCACTGAGATTACTTCTTACTAGGTATTACCACGGAAATAGGTATCCCCATAGCTGACTCAAAGTGGAGATTGTAGGACCAGGAGCAACTTCCCATACCATGCAAACATTGTCTCGTTTAGAATATTAACAAAGCAAAATTATTGTTAACGGGGGAGATAACAGGACCTAAACCCAAATGAATTATGCTCTACTCTACCGGGGCAGTTCTAGAATGCCTTTGGCAGAAGACACACATTGAAAGAACGTTCTAATAGAAAAGTCAATTTTGATTTTACTTAGCTTAAAGACAGTGTTCAGAAGCTAGCTAGTGACTTCAAAGTACAAAATCCGGAATATCTATCACGTTTTTTACGTGCATTTGCACCAGTTAGCATCAAGCTTAAAAGCACACTTGGATTCTTCATTGCACGGTGTGTAAGGAAGTAAGGATAGATTCAATAAGAAGAATAGAGTTCAATGTGTTTTTGTCATTTGGCATAGAAGAAGTGTGGGCAAAATCGAAAGAGAGATACCTTTCGAAATGAAGAACCAAACACAACAGTCTTTCTTTATCCCAGGATTATCAAATATTTGATGAATGGCAGTGTCAAACTAACGGAAGGGTTATTTATATCAAACTGTTTAGATGGGGGGGGGGATAAATCAAGACAAGTTGAAAAAGAGATAATCCATATTCCAGTACCATGACCGGATGTTGGTCATACTTTGGCCTCCACACATTCGCACTGGTTCGGGTCATTAGGGGCGGTTGGGGGGATGGCTGTGTCGTGTGTGGTGTTGGCCATGGAAGACCGAGTGTTCTTAGGAATTGTTTTTGAGAGCACATGTGGGGGGAGGGATTATTTAGGTGGAAGCGTTATTCCACTGAATCGAACAGAGCATTGCTCGTAGCCTAATTAGAGAAAATTACGGTGTTCAACTGAATTATGTGAATACAAAAGCGGATGAAGTCTATCGAGTAACGTGAAATCATCAGTGTACGATATATTGTTAAGGTAGTAGTAGTAGTAGTAGTAATTCTACAAGTCAAAGCGGCTGCCACCCATGATTCAGTGACAAAATATTTTACTATTCAAGGTGTGATTGCATGTGCATTATCCTATAGATCATTGCAAAGCTGAAAGCTTGTGCGCTCATGCACTTCCTCCATGACAATAACTTACCTATAGCATTCATGACCACTGCAAGGTATATAGAACATTATTTAACTGAATAACATATAAATTTCTTGCATTTTGACTCTTGTAGTTAGATATTGGTAGCTTGTAAACTGGTGAATAATTTCATAAAACATTGGATGATTCTAATGTAGCAATTTTTAAAATTGAATCAAAGATATCTTTACAGATGAGAAGGTGCGGGAACATGAATCTCGGTGTAAAAAGGAGTACAATGTGACAGGATCACTATGTTTCTTGTGCAGTAGAATAAAACGAATGTTGGTGAACAAGACTGCAAAACATACCGATCGAAAGACGTTGTTCGAAAAAGCAGACTATAGCCGCAACAGATGCGAAGGATAGTCTAAAAGTGGGTTAGGCAGCATGCTGCAATGTCATACGGATGAACGGATGGAAACAATTTGGTTTCAAAGAACCCGCAGCAGAGGAAATCATGACATGAAACAACTTCTTGCAGGTCGCAGAGCTGAGAAGCAATTTGGTAGTGGATATAATTGCATTCAATGAGGCATTTTGAACTTCTTCGTAGTGCTTCGTGAGAACGCCTGAAGGAATATCATTTAATTTCTTCCCATCGCAGAGGGCCAAATAAATATCAGACATAATTCAGGAATCTGGATTCGCTTTCTGTAACATTTTGCGCTTTGCGAGGATCTATAATCACATACATGTTGCAAATCATATAAAAATGTTATTTTTATTACCCTTATTCAAATAACGTACTTCTTTTAGATGCTGAAATAAAAATTTTAGCAATGCATTGTGTGCATCATACCTCTTAGACAAGTGAAGAGAAAACTTTTTGTTTGATGTGATATACAGCCGGTCCGCATTTGAAAGTAGTCCAGTTTGTGACTATTCATGAGTAGTTGTGTTATGAACAACACAAAATGAAACCCGAGGTTCTCTGTTGACAAATATGAGTACTGTGCATAGCGTGAGTGACAACCGATGAGAACCATGGGGAAAACTACTACTAAAAAACGAGATTATGCCGGTCACGTACCGTGAGGTCTAGTCGATACACTGGCTATGTACGGTTTCCACACCCCAAATTTAGAGTTCCGGACTTGGTGATGTTATTTCTAATGAAAACGACTGATAATGATTTCCTAACGTGTAGATTATTAATTGAACCGAAAACTGTTTTAAACTAGGATTTATAAATGGTCTTTAGTCGAGTAAAAAAATACCGTATTGATTTTCAAGTAGAAGTTGAGTCTATCATCTATCTATCTACCTATCAGGACAGTCCCCTGGTCCTCCAGGTAGGGGGTTGAAGTTGAGGTAATGTCTCAGTCAGTAAGGTGGTAGAGGAGTAATCAGTCCTCGCAATAACCGGAAGTTGCAGTGTTAGTATATAGAAAAAACAAAGGATCACAACACTAAAAGATGCACAGTTTTATACGGATGTCAGAATGCTACAATCATAAAGGCTAGACGAGCAGATCTTATGTACTCCACATGCTGACGTATTGTGAAGTTGTCTTTCCATAAGTAGACCATTTTGAGTAAATAGCAGAAAACGGAGGTCGAAAATGTCCAACGGTTTGCTATTTCTACTTATGATCACGAACGTAACAAACCGTGTGTACGAGAAAGTGTCATTTTAACTGGTAATTTTTATTATTTAATCATTGTCATAGTTGATATTGTTTCGTTCAACTATTGTATAATATCCCGTAAAAACCAACGAATTTCGAAAATAATAATTCCCTTTTTGGGGAGAATTAAGAGTTGCTGTATTGCTTACTTTCCACAGCTTTTCCTAAAAAAAATTGTAAAATTATAAACGCGTAGGGATAAATTTCACCATTCAAGGATTTTTTGAAACATTTGTGACACTTGCATGGTTGCAACAGGGGGGCTAAGGGCAATGAAATTCGCTTTGAGTTTTCAGCTTAAAGTGGCCAATCTACAAGATTTGGCCACTAATGGGAGTTAAATAATTGTTCAGAAGGTGGATGATGTTTACACTGGAGTGAGCAGTTATTCACTGAATTTTAGGAAATGCAACAACTATTTTTGGCTTATCCATGTGTATGTCAGCACATTATAATATATCAGACCCCACCATATCCCCCAAAGTCCCGAGTAAACAGTTACTTCTAACTAACTAGTTAATTAATAAATTTGAAACCTGAAACCAAATCCGATACAGTGGTAAACACGCATACAGCCGCGCCGCCATCTGTTTACACCGCTGTGCATCTGTGAACTGACTGTTTCACAGATGATGATGTGATTTTCTTGGCACAGGCGATTGCACGCGGTTTGTACAGTTGATAAACACTAGAAGGAGGTGACCGTTACAGAACGATACTGGGGTTCCCCTAGGCTCGAGGAATAAAATCACAAAAGCCTATTTTGTCGTTACTTGTTGCGGCTTCCGCACATAACAACACGCGCGTGGCCTCACCTACAGAGTAGAAAATACTGAAGGATAAGACCGCAATATGCTGTCATTTTTTCTTCTTAAGTATGATGACTCATGCAATATATATATGAATATATAAACATGCAAAGATGAAGGCATGTGCTGAGTGATAGTAATTATTCGTCCGTTTCCCACCCGACTAGGATTATTGTCACACGATAGTGAATGTAAATAAACAGGGTGTGCTTGTGCTCGCGCTGTGGTTTGTGTAACACCCGGGTGTCCACAATTCCTTCATTCCTCGTTGACTGTGCAAACGTCGAGCAATGCTTATCAATATCTACATGCCGATTGGAATAGAATACCTGGAGGATCAAACGATCCCCTTCATCTTTGCCCTTGTACACGCCTTTGAACCTATGATTCTAGCTTTAAAACCTTTCGTTTTGCAATGGCTCAGCGAGTCGTTGAGCAAGTAGGTATTCGTGTGGGCGAGGACGCGGTATTTTTCCCTTGTTGTCATGTGTAATGCTGGCTCAAAAGTGCGTGCACGGATAGGTCGAGGGGTTCAACGTGTCGTTTATCGTTGAACCAAATAGATCGTAGCAAGTGAGTGATTCTTGGTCAATTTTGACGTATATGTACAAGTAGTCAGGTTGTGAATGTTTCCAACCAAGTCACTACCTCTGAGGCTAGTGCTGAGATGAGCGAGGTATGTGGCTTGCAACAACCTCCCAATGATTGGTTGTGCTATATCGTGTAAATGGAAAATGAAAATCGGTCTGATCAGATGCTTGGTGATCGAGCGGGTAACATGCTTGTCTTCTGCCATGAGGTTCAGGGTTCGATCCCCAAATGGGTCTATGGATTCGCACTGTTGATGATACCGATTTAGGTCGAAACAGCTGACCAGTGCTTCCTAGCTTTTCAGTTCTCGCTTCATACGCCATTTGCAAAACGAATTTCCACTTTGCTATACATGTTTATATTATAGAGGCAAATAAACCCTTAAGTCAGTTCTAGCCCCATTTTCGTTGAATGCATAACGGCATATTCTGTAGTACGGAACACCTCACCGGCCTGGTGAACCGCATAATTCTTTTTTATCACAAGTCCAAAGCACATTTTAGTTGAGCAACACCTAATGCTATGAGGGGAGAGCAATTGTGTCAAAAAAGTTCAACATAATCCAAAAGAATTTCATAATCTAGTCAGTAGTTTTTTCTCATTCAGATTCAGTGGCCGGTACAACTCATTGTTGTAATCTTGCATCATGGATGGTTTCATTTAACACCAAAGTGAGAGGACGAAAAGTCAATCTCAGGAGCTATAACCGGGTTGGTTGACCACTGGCAGTTCACTCAGGAGAGGTGGCCAAAATCCCTGATTCCAAGCCAACCGTTAGGAGGCATATGAACCACACACAACTTCCTGGTTAATGGCAGTGGTCACCGGCTCGATTGGGCATCAAGGTGCATTGAGCACCTTGGACGTTTGACCCCGTCCGAAGGGCGTATGGTCCGATGAACCGGACGCCGGCCCCCAATGGATTGCGGTTTATGCATATCGCCTTGCTGCCTTGCGAGTCGGGCTTTGGATAGCCAAAAGATCCGGTTGTGAGTTTCTCAAGAAGATTCACCTGCCTTGGCCTGGGCAACCTGCGAATAATCCGATCACATGCGAACCGTGGATCGTTTTTTAAATAACGATTATTGTACCATGATTTGTTTGGCACACAGTCTGGATTCAGACTTGTGTGAAAATGTATAAATATATAGCAATTCCATGTAAGCAAGGATTGCATTTGACGTACGTTTTTTCGCGGATGGGGAAGCTAAATTGGATAAATTGACAACAGGATATTTTTGATGACTGAGTTTGATCATTGTTTTGATATTTCGGCTGAGAAGGAACAATCTTCCAATGAACTTTCATTTTGTTGTTTCTTGTTTTACAACCGCCCAACTAAGATAATAGTACACTGTATATAGCGGATTCTCATGCGGTGACAGAGTGATGCCCCGACAGCCGACTCTCAAGTAGAAACTCATAGTGCTTAAGGTCAATAATAATCCACACACAAGTCTATGACTGGGCATCTGTCTGATATACATTTCTTTCATTTCAGAAAAACCGATAAACGGTTAAGCATGTGACGTTTCACCTCTGGGATCAAAAACTACACATTTATTAACTTCCACAATAAAATCTTTCGTTATCTTCCAGGTTTCTAACATGTAGGAATGGATGACGGAATTTTGGGATATAGAAGCACAGGCATATATCGGGACATTTAGAATAACTGTAACGACTTCATTTAGGCTCCTGTAGTTTAGCACGTATTCGGATTGACCGTCAGAGGTGGAAAAAGAGTGGATGCTTGGTCCGATCCCTGATCCCAACTGAAGAGAAACGATTATCTCGACTGTTTTACAGTATAACGAAATAAAAGCGGATTCTAATGTTTAACCACGAAACCCTTGACAGAATAACTGTTATATTTAGATTCCGAGAATGTGGAATAAAGAAGAAACGCCGTCACGCCGAAACCATATAAAGTCCGAGAAAAGGGAGATAACAAAACGAAATATGTGATTATTTAAAAACTTGCCAAGTGCTTCCAGTAAATCTGATAGTAAGAAGTATAAGCATTGATAGATCAGTTGTGCGCACAAAGCGGAAACTGATTGGTCAAGACCATTCTGCATTTTTGATTCCAAACCCAACACCTAGATAAGGAGAGTACAACAAGGAAAAGGTTATGGAACAATGGACTTCTGAGGCAATATATTTATGAAAAGTTTCTTTTCTAAAGGAACAGCTTCTAATTAGTAGCTTTCTCTTCAGTTTGTGGCAATAAAATGTAGGTGTTCAGTTTCGCATTTAAGCTAAACCTGACACCTTGAAATCAGACCAAATGGAACAGTTCTTAGCAGAGGCAAAGCTCTTCTTTTGACTGCGTAATATTATTCTGGATGGGCGTTTGATAGTAAGCTGTTAACTGCAGCATTTCTCCTCTGCATTTATGAGTAAGTGGTACCATATGTGTGTCCTCGTGATGCAATTTTCCATTTGTCACATGATTTTCACTCATTCGCGAGGTTCATTGGGCCGGCTTGGTATACTTTTATCGATCGTTCAAAACAATGGAATATATTTTGAAACGAAATGTGTCAACGGATGCATATCGAATCTCATCACCAAAAGACTCCTTTGGTGGTAGACC